TAATGTTGCCTTCGGTGAGTCTGCTATTCTCTAGTGCACTGGAGACAAAAAAGCCTCAAGGTGGTACTTAGCCCCAAATCCTCAGGAAGTTACAAACAGTTATTCTACAAGGCACAGCTCAAAGCATTAAAAAGGAATGCTGCCATCTTTCTAACTGTTCCTCTGTCTAGCTGATTAGCTATCATTCCATCAGGATATGGAAACACTTTCACCCATGCATGCCCTGTTCCAAAGCCCTGCCTGACCACAGACTCAATAAAACACAGAGGATGCGCCCAAGGTCTCTCAGTTCTTATGTTCTATGATGTATATGACCTCTTCTTGTGCACCAATGCCACAGGTTTTAACTGGCACCTATTAACAGCCTCATGGGTTTTCTGGGTTGGATGTTTTTGGGTTGGCTGTCACACAATATTGCCAGGATGTACAAACCAAGTATGCTAATAAAATTAATTATGATCCCTCACCTAGAAAAGACACACTGCAATCCTTGTGCATTTTATGAAGGTGAGAAGCAAGCCTGTGCAGGTGACTGATTTTTTTTTTACCAACACTGGGTACCACAACACACATCCCTAGCAGGTTTCCTGAGACACAAAGTTCCAGACAGCTGACCTCCTTCCACAGACTGCTCACATTTCAAAGCCCTGAAAAACTTGCAAAGGAAAAGAAAGATGTGCCTGAGGTGTTAGCAAATCCAAAAAGAAGTCAGAAAAACCTACGGATGGTAGTTAATAAAGGATACAGCAGTAGACAGTAACAGATAATGTCTCAAAGAATCAAAGTTCATGTAATTATTTTGCAAGTATTTGTAACTGGAGGTTCCACTATTTGTAACTAAAACTGTGACTGCACCTTACACTTCCTAACTGAGGAGTTAGCAGTGATCAAACACGGTAGTACTAGGAGCAAGGAAAAACAAAAACCCTTTAGCTAAAATGGAGAAGAAGAGAAAATAATATTTGCTAACAAATTATCTTTATTGCCATGTCCCCTTCACTTCCACAATGATTCTGTACAGGAACATGCCAGGACAACCAGCTGCATGTGAGGAACAGCCAGGATCACAGACAAGTAGAAGTTTTTAAAAGTCTCGGTTAATAAAGTAGACAAGTATATAACATATTTCCTATTTTCCATAACAGAAAAGGTGGGTTTGAGTTCACACCAACAATCTCCCTTTATATCTGTTTCCTTTTTCAAAGAACACAAAAAAGCATGTATTTCATGAACCTTGAAAACATTCTACGTTAAAGATGTTTTTAAACCAGAAGAATTGATCTGCTCTGAACATGGGATATGGACGAAAAGAAGCACAATTGAGAAGAACCTTCAAAAAGGAAAGGCAGCACAAGATCTTCCAGTAATACGCTTTTACACAAGAACACAACTGCCAAGTAACCATTGATAAAAAAGGAGATAGAAGAATACACAGCAAGATTTATACAAGAAGAATACACTTGCTAAGATTTCTGGTGCCAGAGTAATTTTAGAAACCTGGGTAATCTTATGATTTAGTTTACTATTTTATTAATACTTTGCTCTACTAGAGAGGACTCTAGTCTCTAACTAAGCCTGGTAATTTTCTTAAATCAAGATGGGGGGGTAGCAGGATAAACATCTTTCTGCAAACTTCTAAATAATTTGAAGAAATTACTTCACCAAGCGAGATTTGCTTTTGCAGTCACACACCCACAGCTCCATCGGCCTGTGGTTTGCTGCTGTCCCAACACTGACAGGAACCATGAACATCACTGAAGCATTGCCTTCAATCCAGCCACGTACAGAACCAACACACTACAAACTGGCACTTGGTTTGCATTCTAAAGGGCAAAGGGATTACAAATATTTTCTCATATTCAAGCAACTATAGACCTACGGGAGAGATAAATAACCTTGTCACTGCTTATACTTTCAGTGATCTACTAGAACAGCCTAATTTTGAGATCTATCCTTCCATGATTAAAATGAGACTAGTACTCTGTTCTTGATGTTCTTAACAAGATCAAAGACACTTATGCTCATTTCCCTTCTATGAAAAAACATTTTCTTTTACCCAGTTGAGAGAATGTGAAGAAGAAATCACCATTTTCTCAGGAAACCGCAATGGGAACAAGCTGCCAAGCATTTCAGCACACAGATTGCAAGGTCTTGCCAATAAATGTTGCTTATGCAGAGAACTTACTAGTACCTCCTTATCTAAACCTCAAATTCCCTTCTGCTCAGTGTAAGGCTGATTCTGATTAATTACCTTAAAAATGTCTTAATACAAAATATATGAAGATTAAAAGTATCTTCCTAACATGATGCTATGAAAGATAACCTGATCATGGTATGGGATGTTGCTTAAATAAACTCTGCATTCTTCAAAGTTTTATGGAAATTATGGTGCCTCTTTCTTTAAATAAGCTCTCATCTACATGGTCACTTGATTTGATTTGAAAAAGAAAGTGAGAAATCAGAACCTTTCCTTGTATTTGATTGCAAAACTTTCTGTGAGTTTAATATGCAGCCTGATCTATTTTTTTCAACCAGCTAAACTGTTACAAACACTAGGAAACTATTTTCAGAAACATTTGAAAGACTCATTACAAATTTTGAAGCCTTCATTTATATTTACAGGGCATGCGGTGTCAAAGACTGCTGAAAAATATCAACACCAAGACTACCCTCTTTTAGGATGTGCATTTCTAATGACTAAAAACTACAGTATATCACATAAACACACAGTAAAATAGATTCAGAATGTGTAGTTTAATATGAAACCACTCAATTATTTACTTCCAAGAAGTGAGGAGGAAGTAGTGTGAAGGAAGTGAATATCTGTCTGACTTTAGCACCAAATAAAGAGGGGAAGGACAGTTCCATTATTTTTCTCTCATGTCACTTAAACCTACCTGTAGTTATTTCTTTAACTGCATTTTACAGAAGCCAGCTAAACACTGTTAATCTTCCACAAGAATATTTTTCAGCTGTGAGCGATGATATATCTAGTGTTTGTTAAATCCACTAAATACCTCAAAGGGCTTTTAGAAAGGGCTGTGTAATCAACCAGCTTCAAAAAGTTCTTTAGAGCTCATCATGCTTCAAAAACTGCTCTATTTCCTCTTAGTTCTTGAGACTTAGAGGTAAGGATAATAGGAGGAAACTAAGTTTATTCTAATGCTCAGACAGCTCATTTATAAGGCAAATTTATTTTTTCAAAAAGGAAACTCTTAGTTTAGGAAACAAGGTACACCTGCCTCATTCTGATAACACAGGAAAATAAGGCCTTCTAGTCAGCAGTCCTGCAATTCTGTGAGCCTTGCACCCATTCTGCCACAGGCTGGATGACGGCTTTGGTGTCTGGTGAGCAACCAGCATGCATGCAATCGAAGTGGGAAACGCATTTTCTGTGCAATTCACTGCACAGGGAGAAGAGCAGAAAGCACCCAGAGTAAGGAAAGCAGCCTATCTTGGAGCACAACAATCACCAGAAGTGTCTTTGCAGACAGAACACAGGAGGTGGGGGAAAAGGTACTACTGAAAAAGTTGTGCTTACTGGAATCCATAAGCAGTTATGCATATTCCTGCGCACTCTGTCAAGGTAAGAAACAAAGGCTGCCTGAGCTGTGTTGGTTTAGTAGCACATTAATATGTAAGCAGCCAGATTTTGAACCTAAAATTCACACCTCATCAGAACAAATAATTGCATATTATCTTGCAGAGGATCAAATTCAATAGAATGACTATTACAACATCAATGTTATTAGTGTAAACTCATAATTCTTTTCAAGACTAGAATAAAATAAACAAAATCAAGAAAGATATCTAAATAATTAATCCAGAATGACTCTTCTTCTCTGAAGGATTGAGGGGAAAAAAAGTAATAATCTGCCTAAGAGCATATTAAATAGTTTAACCTTTCTTTTAAATTACACCATTTCCACCACATGCTCAAAACTAAATAACCCAAAATATTTTATCTAATTTTCTGGTTTCTAACAAGCACGTTTCAAGCTGAAAACTCTCTGGTCCGTTAAAAGAGCTGAAGAAACATAATTGAAACCAGTAACGCATTAAATTAAATGGAGCAAATCTTCACCAATAGCACAGAGTCTGTTACCAGTGCCCTCAGAAATGCCTAATTCTTCATAAATGCCAAGCCCCATTTCACTGCTTATGAGAAAAACTTTCATGAAGCAGGATTATCCTAATGTGTCCATGTGTGCACTGTGCCCACACACAGATGCAGCCACTCATGATCAGCACTAAATGAGACCACCTGAGTCAGACTATCAACTCTGGGTTTTTGTTGGTTTTTTTTTGTTTTGTTTTGTTTTAAATTTGTGCTACCAGGACACAATAGAAAGTGAACAAGGATACCACAAAGGAATCGGAAGGACCCCAGTTTGCGCTCAGAACAAACAAGTTTTTTCCCTCAGACCAGCAGCCTCCCCTGGGGCGAGCCCCAGCTTTTCTGAGGGCTCTGGGGCACCCCAAAGCCGCGGCCTTTCCAGCCGTCCCGGCACATCGCGCTCTCCTCGGCACAACTCTTCCGTGCCGTGTGTGTACCTTAAATCCCACTCCTGCTCCGCTCGTCCCGTTTGGTGACCTCCAGCACCGCTCGGCTCGCTGCTGAATCTGCAGCCGCGCCAGACCCCGAGCGCCGGCCGCTCTCAAGGTGAGCCCAAGTCAGCGCCGATGGAGCCGGCGGCTGAGGCAACGCCAGCGGCTCATTTGTCATCCCAAGTTTCGCCCGCCGCTGTTGGTAAAACCCAATCCACCTTGGCCAGCCTTCCGGAGGAGAGGTGGAGGTGCCCCCGCGGTGCTGCCGGGCCGGGGGCAGCGCCGCGGCCGTGCTGAACACGGCGCTGCCGATCGAGGAGCTCACCTGCCCGCCTGGGCTCGGAGAGGGCGCCGAGGCCGCAATTCCGCCCGCGTCCCACCTGGCGGGCGGCCGCGCATCCCTGAGGCGCCGCCGGCGGTCCCGCCCGCCCCTCCCGCGCCCCCCGACTCACCGAGAAGCCGGCCCAGAAGGGGCAGGAGTGGCGGACGCGGGCCGAGGTGGTGAGCGCCAGGGCGGCGAAGCTGACGGCCACGATGAGGCAGCCGAGCACCATCTGCGTGACCCCCAGGGCCAGCATGGCCCGCGAGCGGGCGCGCTGCTCGCGCAGGCGGGACAGGCTGCGGGACAGCGCGGTGGGGCTGAGGGAGCGCGCCCCGCCGGGGGCCCGCGCCGCCCCGCCGCCCGCCGGCATCCTCCGCGCGGCCCCGCGCCGCCTCCCGCCGCCCCCGCGCTCCGCGGGGCAGCCGGGCGCTGCGGGCACCGCGGCGCATGGAGGAGGAGCCGCCCTGCGCCCGGAGCCACCCGCGCGGCCCCGGCCGGGGCGCGGCGGGCGAGGGGCAGCAGCCGCCGCCGCCTGTCCCCGCTGCTGGCGCGGGGCGGGGGGGGCTGCGGGGCTGCAGCGCGCGGGCGCGGCTCAACCTCAGCCGCCGGCGGGGGCGGCCCCGGTCCGGCCCAGCCCCGCAGCCCGGCTCGCCGCGGCTCCCGCGGAGCGCCCCAGCCCCGCTGCCCGGCGCCTGCCGCTCCGGGAGGGGAGGGGAGCGGGGAAGGGCTGTGCACGGCCAATGGCGGGCGGAGGCAGCGGCCGGAGCATCAGCGGCGGCCGCCGGCCCTGCGGGCTCGGCGCGGTGTGCGAGGCGAGCACCGGGCGAGGGGCCCGGCCCGAGGCCCCCCTGCAGCCGGACGGTGCCCGGGCAGCGCCCCGGAGCCGACCCCGCTCCTGCCGCCAGGGCCCTGAGGGCAAAATCGCTCCCACCTGGGCTTTGTGCAGCGGCGGCACCGGCAGCCTCCCCCCTGCTCTGTGTGCTCTCGTCCAGCCGCGGAGGAAGGGCAGGGCTGGGTCTCAGTTCTGTGTAGAAGGCATCTGGAACGTTTTTGATTTTTTAAGGTTTTATTCCTCACAGCAAACCATAACCAAGTCTCAGGTGCAGCATCCCCAGTAGCAGAAACATATGAGGCTTCTAATTATAAAAACTTCTCAGCCCTGCTGCTGCTGCTAAGAGGGTCTAGCATGGTAAGGCTGCCCACAGCACCTGAAGCCACTCTTTTGCAGAAGGGAAATCACAGCAATTAGGTATCAACTGTAAACAGCTTGGCCTACTCATGAAAAACATACAAGCAGAACCCAAACCCCAGATGAGCATCTCACTATACTGCAGGATAGTTTAGGTAGTAAAACTATGCCAAGATTAACATATTTGTAGCACCATAATCTGCTAAAATAGTAATTTTTTAAATACAGGAATTGGCACATGTAGTCTACATATCTGCAATTCTGTGATATTCATTAAAAAAAAATTCTCAACCCAAACATCACATGTACACCAGGCTTAACACGTTCTATTTGAGGCTCCTTTTCTTTCAGGAACTTTTCTTAGCATTAGATAGTTTCCTGGGGAGGTAGTAGTGAGGAAGTGTGCCTTGACATGAAAGTGTCAGAGTAGGTCCCCTCTCTTCATACAATATCCGGATGTTTTACTGTAACGAACACAAAAAAGCTCACTGCTTTCAGCTTAATTCACTGTCTGTGTCACACAACATCAGGGGATAACAGCTGCTGTCACCCCACCATGGCTGAAATACTGCTCCAGCACATGTGCAAGCCATATTTTAATCAGAGACAAAAGCACCTGACTAAACTCTACACTGAAGAAACAACTGTTTTGCTAAAAGTTTTTAGTCAAATGCAATTCGTACTGCATTAACATTGCTCATAATCAAAAGAAGAGTTAGCTGACAATGACATATTTAGAATGGGCCTGATAACAAAGAGGAATCAGCTAGAAACAACATTCCCAGCTGATATTCCCAAGCTGACTGCTGGCACAGGTGTGCTACTTCCCATCTGAAAGCCCAGGCAGAACAGATAAATGAAGGCAGGTGGGAATATATAGATATAGATCACACTGAATTTTTGCTCGTACCAATTCACACTAAAACTAACATCCACTTGTATTTATTTAAGTAGAACTGTTTGCTGTCCAGCATTGGAAATATTACTTCAAAACGTCCCTTTCAAAGTCAAGGAAGAGTCTGTGTTCCAATGTTCTGCCAAATAAGGTGAAAGGTTCTAGCAAAAAGAAACAAAACCAAAGCCCAGATGCAAACTGAACCTCTGCAGTCTCCATGATTAAGTAGCTCATTCTCCATCAAGGCAGAAATGATTTAGGTTATTCAACAGCAGGACAATTAGAAATCTTAATAAATGCATTTAAATCTCTAGCTGGGTGCTCTCATTCAGGAACAAGATGGCCCTAGGGCTTGGAGAAATTGGGACACATTACACTGGGGAGTGAATTTACATCTCACTAACTCCCTGTGCTGATACTATTGAAAGCATTAGGTACAAAGCAATTTACCTTCATTTCCAAGGACCTTCTAACTTGTATGTAAAAATAAAAAAATAAACAATCCACATTTGTGGGTAATCCAGAGGAGGATCTGGCACTGCCAATCCACAGCTCATCTGCTGTCCATGAACCTCACATGTGGATCAGTTCTCAGGTAATCAATACTTCCACACCCTCCAATATGGCCAACTAAGGCTACCAGAAAAAATGATTTTGGCTTCCAGTATGAATCCAGTGGACTTTAGATCACTTTTTGTCACTTCAATACTTGTGAGCATTCAGATATAGATAGTGTTCAAGATCTGAATTAGCTCTGGATACACTTCTTAGTTTTCTTTGAAGAGTCCTGAGTTGCTGGATTTGTTTGAGAAGTATTTGAGAGCAATTTGGGAAGTACTATTATCCCTGACTTGAAGTTATTTTGCTGAAGAAACCCTTTTACAATACTTTCACTGGTATTTTTCAATGCCAGATCACTGTGTGTAACTGTAAGTGGGATGTGGTACTGAAATTCCAGAACTGTGGCCACAAAAGCTTTGGAATAGCCATGTTTATATGGGAACACTATAACCAACTAATTTTAAATTTACCAAATAATTTGTTTCCCAAAGGCAGCCAGAAGGGCACTACATATCAGGGCCTATTATTAGCCTGTTAAACCCCATCAGAACTCAGAAGCCAGTATGATAATGATGCCACTCTTACCATAACTGTCAGCCTTTACTGGCTCCCACCAGTTCAGAAAGCAGCTTTGTACTCAGGACTGTATTAGTGGATAGAAGTTTGTATTTATTCTAGCTTACTTTGCACTGCAGTGAATTTCATGCATCTGTCTCTTCAACTGTTATTTGAGATGTAGCAAATGGCATTTTCAAGTATGACAGAATTGGAAAAGGAGCAAAGAGAAGTAAATTCACAGTTACAGTAAAGTCTCTCTTGCCATTACAAAGGTGCCCTACGGAGTATAGATACTGAAAGCATGTCCAAGGGCCCTGCCACTGCCACTTACATACAGCATGGCTCAAATCTGCATCCCTTACACGAGCTCATGATTTGAAGCAGCCCCTCTCTATATATGCAGCTTTAAGGACTTATTAAGCACTAACAAACCAAGCTGTTTTGTTAAACCACAATATACATCTTAAAGATGTAGTGGATATTGGTCCAATGTGGCAACAGTCCTGAAAAATAAAATGTAAACTTTAGCTACACATACACACAAAATGAGAAACCCCCACAAAACTTAATATATCTCTTTCCATATCCAACCTTCATCATTCATCTTGATATCTTGACTTAAGATAGGTTTATTATTCTAATATTTAACAAGTAATTTCTCAGCCATTCAGATGTTGTTGCATCCCTATAACACCAGCAGTAGTAATTCCACTTCCTTTGTCCACCCTGTTGATTCCTCAAAGGGAATCAAGTATCCAGACCACAACATCCAGGATAAGTTCAATTGAAGGACATAATAATTTCTTGGCACATATATAAAAAATAAATTCTCTTTTTTCATGGCCACACTTTGCCCTGTTCTAAAAATAACTTGTAAGGCACTCCAACATACTTTATCTCAGTTTACCAGGAACCATCCTTAATATATCCAGTTTTTACAGAGGTAATGAAATTGGTTTATGGATATAATTACCTAAATATGAAGTCTGTATCACTGGCAGAACTGAAGAGCAACTTATTCTCACATGCCAACTTCTAAGCATGTAAGAATATTTGATTCCAAAGGCAACAGAAGCCTTTGGTATTTCAGTACATTTAAAAAGAAATTTACATTTTCTTTTACTTAACAGTCAATCTTCCTTAAGTTGATCTTCCAAAAAATTGTACTGGGCAGGGACAGAAAGGAGGGCAGGACAGCAAATAATAAATATTTCTTTATCTATACACCACACCTACTTGTAATCAACATATTGCAGGAAGTATTCTGCTTTACTAGCCTTAGGCTTTGAAAATATAAAAGCCCCCTCATAGCAGCAGATACCAAAATGTGTCAAAGACAACAAAACAATACCTGCCAGTGCCCATCAGTGAAAGAAGGGATCACAGATCTGTACACTTAAAACCTTATGGTGGCACTTCTATCTTTGGTACTATTTTGCTTCCTGATGACTCTACAATTTTCTTAAAATAGGAAAACTGCCTCTTACAGGCTTGTAGTTAATCAATGAACTTCAAAAATAGAAATCCTCTTCCCACCTCCCTACTTTTATACTAATAAAACTATCCACTGTGTGTTTTCATTTGACAAATCAGATATAACACTCCCAGTCCCATCTTTTACAGCAATTTTTCTGTGGAAGTGAATGAAGAGCTCACAAAGCACACCAATTTTGTGTTCAAAAATACTATGAATAAAAACTTTTAAAATTACTGTGAGGATCATCAGACTTTGACTAAGCCCTGCTTCTGTGCTTAAAACCAAAGTGCCTATTTAGGGAAGCTTTTAAAAGGATATATTGAAAACAAGAGCATCTGCCTCACAATCATCAGGAGCCCTGCAATGAACAAATGCATGGTCAAAGTCTGCTTCCAAGAGGTAACACAAATAAGTGGAACTGTCACATCTCCACTGCAGGCTGCAAAACACACAGAGAATCACACACAGAATCACTGGGTTGGAAAAGACCTTCAAGATCATCAAGTCCAACCCATGCCCTAAACAGCTCAACTAAACCATAGCACCAAGTGCCATAACCAGTCTTTTTTTAATCACACCCAGGGATGGGGACTCCACCACCTCCCCAGGCAGGCCATTCCAATATTTTATCACTCTCTTTCTGTGAAAAACTTCTTCCTAATATCCAACCTGTATTTCCCCTGATGCAGCTTGAGGCTGTGTCCTCTGGTTCTGTCAGTGCTGCCTGGAGAGAGACACCAACCCACCTGCCCACAGGCCACCTTTCAGGAGCTGTTTGTTACCCCAACCAGCCATGGACCTGAAGGAGACAAAGAAAAGTACCTGGTGCCATTACTTTACAGCCATTA